ACCCTCCTAATTTCCTTCATGGAGGGTTCCTGGAGAAGGGCCTCTCCCGCAGATCTCAAGGGGCGGGCGGGCATATATGGATGTAGAGGAGGGGAAGAGCAGAACAAAGAGATGAATGTGTAGGGTAATGCCATGTTAAAAATGAGGTTAAAGTTGAGTCTAAGACTACAGCATCAAAATACCTCCTGATTGTATACGAATGCTGCATTATGTAATGATGGCTGTTGAAATTATTTTGGAATTTTAAAATGAAGTCTGAATGGTAAATTGGCAATCCCATTTGAATTATACATATATCATTAATTTGCCTTAGAACTGTGATATAGCTTTCTACATGAAAAAGCATTTTTCTTCAAGGATGCCTATTAAACATTTTATACAGGGCCATAACTATCTTCAGCATTCAGCAATGCGCTTGACACTCTCGCTAACGTTTTGGCAAGAAGTTATTTAAGCCTATGAGCCTTGGATGTCTAGGCCTGGTTTTGATATTAGCCCTACTGCTTGACTTATAAGAGTTAGCATTGTGGGAGGCAGACACAAACAATTTTGGATTCTAGTGAAAGGTTGGGAACTACATAAAACAGGAACTTATAAAATATTTTTTATATAATCTGACTGTAATAGTTACTACTGCTTCCTACTGAGTAGCTGAATGAAGAAGCTTTTTTCATTTATCACTGTATCAAATGGCAACAAATACGTACAGTGTTAACATCAAAATGACTTCATTAAATGTGAGTGCTTTGCTCAGGTTTTATGATGAAATTTTCCCCTGGGAACTATTTATAAATGTCCACTGAGAATAAAACTTATTGAGAATAAATAAAGTCTTAGTCAGCAGCTGGATTTGCTGAGCATTGTTTTGAAGTATAAATGAAATATCCAACTCCTCATTCAGGGCACAAACCTCCAACTGATTTGAAGAGACTTGTCGCCCCACAGTTGCTATTTTCTCCATCTTCATTCCCTCTACTTTTCTTACTAGCATGCAGCAAATGTTTCTGACAAATGAATAAGGAAGGGGAGAGCAAAATGACAGTTGTGGTCCTTGTGGCACCATTTGGACAGGGATATCTGATAGTTCTTCCCAATTTTAGTAAGATATAAGAAAAATGCAGACTTGTAGCTTGGCTCTTTCTTTCATTGAAAAAAACAAACAAGCAAACTCTGAACTATAATTGAGTGCATTCACATATCATGTTAACCCATCCTTGCTTTAAGCCACAGTGAGTTGCTGACTGTATCCTCAACCATGGGGAGCCCAACAGATGATCAGTGTGTTATTGGGCCTCCCTCATTTCATTCCATAGGCATCACAGAAGATACTGCAAAAAAAAAAAAAAAAAAAAAAACACCATGCCAACGTGCCTGTCCCTGCCATGTCCGTAAGCCTTTTCATGATTTTTTCCATTAAACTTTATTCCCCCTGAAAATTGCAAAGAACAGCTGACATGAAACACTTTTGACAGCTACAGACAGTCCTTTTATAGAGTGCCACAGTTGTACTTTGAAGGGAATGCCTGATGGTTGCCAAACATTTTATTATTTTGTTTCCAATAATTTTGAGGAACAACATTTTGCAAATATTTCCTAATGGTATGTATGTATTTAGTATTTAGTCTGAGAAGGAACAACTCTCAACTCAGAGAAGACCCTGATTCTGGGAAAGAAGAGGGGGACAGTAGAGGATGAGTTGGCTAGATGGAGTTACTGGGGCAGTGGGTGTGAGCATGGGCGGGCTCCAAGGGATGGTGGAAGACAGGAGAGCCTGAAGGAATGTTGTCCATGGGGTCATGATGTGTCGGGCATGACTTTGTGACTAAAAACAGTGTATTTAGTCACACATTTTATTTCTGATTGATTTAGTTAAAATATCTATATGCCACCTATTTTAACTACACATTTGCATTTGTGCAAGTAGGAAACCTTGGATGGGAATTGTGCAGAAGGAATTTCATCATCGAAATTGCAGACTAGTTTATTCCTCCCCACTTTCTGCATGTGACAGTAGTCAACAGGCAAGCAATCAAATGTTACCAAAGCCGTGTGTGATCCTAGCTCATGAAGGGAGGTAGCAACTCATTCCCTTCCTTTGTGGCAAGATTCTGGGGAGTGAGAAAATGGGATTTGTGTTCCAGTGGTGTCCTTTGTGCTGATTCACAAAATTCTACTGCCTCAGGAACATGCAGAAGTATGAGTTACCCCAGTTACAAAGGTGGTTAATTTGGCAGTAGTCCAAGTTTAAACTCTATTTTTTAAGGAAGACTTATTAAGAATTGCAAGACGTCTGTTGTTTGCTTTTTGTCTGCTTTTGCAGAGAATTATATGCCAAAAGACTTAGAAGCCAATTTCCTGTACCCATGATGTGGTCAGTTGCCCAGGTTAGGTGATATGGCAACCCATCATAAGCTGTTGCAGTGGCCTTTTGCCCTTGAACAAGCTGCTTTGAGGAAATTGTTCGGGATTGACAAGAAAGTCCATGAAGGATAGCAACACACAATACATTATTATGTCAAGTAATCCAATCATTATGTTTTCCCATTGGTGACAAAAAGAGTTATCCCATAGCTGCATGATTTCTGTTATTACTCTTTTGGTACAAAATCTTCCAAACTTTCATTTTATCATTCGTTTTCTCTCAGCTTTTGCCTTTCCTCCTTGTGAATTGTTTCTTTAGGTTAATTCATTTATCTGTGAACTATGCTGAAATGCTTTGATTCCCTGCTTTTGCAAATATATCTGTAAATAAGCTATATAAACCCTAGTGCTGATTCTTCTGATAAAGTATAGTTATAAAAAATAAAGATGGTTAATCCCTTCTGTTGCTCCTGAGATGGATGAAATGTCAGATCTATATGATTAACCATGTAAGTTTGGAAACTTAGTGTGCTGGAGAAATGTTTTGCGTAATCTACACCATTAGCAGCTTGTTCCGTGCCTGCCCAAATTGCTATAGATAATTACTTGATGTGCACCAGAGCAGATTGGTTCTTTCTTTCTATCTTTCTGTCTTTCTGTCTTTCCTAAACTGGAGTTTTGCAGCTATGGACTGGGAATGCCACTTCAAGAGAATACTTAGGCAGTAAGGTGGTGAGCCAGCAGAGTAAGATTTGTTTAGTGATGATGTTACTGGCTTATCCTAGTGCTTCTAGCATTTATCTCTCAGCCTTTTTCTACTTTTTTGCTTTTAAAATTAACAAAAGACTTTTCAAGCACTGACCACAGGACTGGTATTTGGTCTAAAAAGTACACTCAAATGAATTTTACATTTTCATGTATTTTTTTAAAACTAGAATGGAGCAATGTGACTTAAAAAAAATAGAGCAGAGTAATTCATTATTTCATTCTGAGGTAACATTTACAAGCAGAGAAATCTAAATGGCAAAAAAATAGATTTTAAGAAAAGAGCAGCTCAAAACCAAAGTATAAGGGTGGCCTTCCCTGTACCACATGCTTTACTGGCACTGCAGTCCAGCTTTCCATTTCAGCTTGGGGCTTTCTGGCATAGTGAGAGTGATAGACTCTTGATCTGAGCAAGTTCTCATAATAAAAAACAAGGACATGCTAGTATGAAACTCTGCATATCCCTGCTTGCGTGCATGTGCAACAACTATGCAGGCAGGTTTATTTAATTCCCACTGAAATCTGCAGATGTTCAGTGCTTCTGACTGCGGACAGGCTAGAGACTCTGTGCACAGTTCAGCTATGTGGCATTCTTGTCACCAATTAGTGCTCAGCGGGCTTAAAACGACACAAGTCAAATAAATGCAGCATTGTTAAAATAATGCAAAGTTGTGCAGCCTTCATTTTTGATGGCACTGCATCTGATGATGGACAATCCACAGGTGTAAACAAAGAAAACCACCGCCAACCTTCAGTGTATGTAGCGACCCTCTGCAGATGAAATGTAATATGATTATAGATAAAGTAAGTAGCATGGCTCATTGGTCCTCTTCAGACTTACAGCTTTCCTACCCTGTATCTCTTGCATTAGTACATGCTGCTACAGGCCCTTATTAACAGAACAAATTGAAACAAGGAGTTACACATTAGCTTTCATATAGCCCAAAGTGCCTGATCCTGCTTCACCTTGGAGCAGAGCAGCATCAGGTCTGGTTGAAATCTGGATGGGTGACTTAATGTTGGGAACCATCCAGAGAGCTCTTGCTGTGGGTGGTGCAGAAATGTACTTAGCAATAACAACAACAGCATTAACACAAATAGTGGACAAATAAATAAAATGTTTTAACCAGATTCCATAATCCATGAGGAACAGAAGTAATTCTGAGACCTAAATGTTGAATGTGGTTTTGCGTATGGATTGTTAGAGTGTTAAGTTTTCTTTAGTGGTACTTCCTTTCCAGACTGTCTCTCCTAATACTGAAGTTTTAGTATAATCATACCTGATTATTAAAAGCGAGGAGGGAAGGGGCACATGTTAAGTATGTTAATTTGACATCCGTACTTGAGATTGGTAGAAATTGACTCCCTGCTTGCAACTGCTTTCTCATACATTTGTATATTTGTTGCTCCTGTGAATATTTCAGTGCCATCGAAATGAATGGCAAAAGTGGTACTCGGAAAAGCTCTCCTTCTGCACTGATTGGCAACAAACTCTTTCCTCTCAAATGGTTTCATGTGCATCAGTTCTGCTAAACGTTGCCAGTTTCAGGCTTAGGGATCTGTATAAGGACCTTATGGATGTCACAGCAATTGGCGATCCGCACCTGTTTATTTGCATATGGAGCATGTCACTGATAATAAACAAGATGAGGTCTTTAAACATCAGAAGAAAAGACAGTGGAAATTAATTATACTAATCAAATTTATAAATAAACAAGTCACTGGTATTACATGGAACTTGCCACTTTCATTATAGTACATTATATGCCTTTAATGTAGTGGTTCTAGATAAATGTTTGCTTTCCATATTTTTTACCCTTATGTTATAGCCTTAATTGCAAAAAGATTAATTTTACTTTCTCTGCTATTCACAGAGGGTGAAGAAACAGGAGTGATGGATAATCTTCTTGAAGCACTGCAATCTGGAGCAGCGTTCAGGGATCGCAGGAAACGAATGCCAAGAACTCAGGGTAGGACCATCCATCCATCCATTCAGCAGGGGGGTCTATCTAGAGTTTAAAGACTAGAAAGAGACGTCTGTTTGGGAAACTTATTTATGAGCTTCAGCCAAAATGATTTCTGGGTTAGCAGGAATATATGCAATCGCAAGTTTTAATATGGTAATTGTAGAGTGGAAAAATACAGTGTTCCCATTGGACCAGTTTGCATGGCATAATATGTCAGCATGGGTTCTCCTAGGGTTATCCAAGGTTTGTTTAATCTTTGAATAACCCATGACACCCGGCTTCACAAGGCACACGAAACTGCTGTGTGCCATTGCTGAAGCTTGCATATTCAAAATACTAATAAGCATCTCATTCTTACATCCCTGTGGGTGAGCTAAGCCATGGTGCTTTACTGTAATGTGCAGGCTAGGCGACAGTGTTTGATAAGCATTAAGTTAACAGAAGTCAGTGTTCCATAACTTGCGGAACAACACCGAAAACCGTTAGTATAATTAAAATGACTCAGCTGAAGTTCTTAGGTATTAAGAATTGTGAATTCTAATGTTTATTATTGCATGCTCTTTTATTGTTGGTTGCATTATATCAGTAGTCTGCTTGCTTTGATTTAAAATAAATGGTTGCTTGGTATGTTTAAGTCAAATACATACCAGCCCAAGACTAGTCTGCCTTGGCTTGCACTGCAGACTTTTATTTGATTGATTGATTGACTGATTGATTAAAAGCTTTTCTAACCCGTCCACCACTAGTGTCTTGGGACAGCTTTCAATAAAAAACAATTTTTTAGTTAGTATCAGTATGGTTCCAGGTATCTCAGAAAAGTATATGTCCACATGTAGTCCATAACTCCTAAATTAGGATTATTTTTTTAGTATGATCTTCCTGAAAGTTGTCATCCAGGTGAGAGCTTTTGCCTGCTAAATTAAAAACAGAGTCTCTGTTGCTGTTTGTCTTTTTCTTACATAAGCACACACTTTTACATTTGTATTTTAAGTTCTTCTGAATAAAATTAGGAACCCATCTAATGAAAGGAAAAAACTTACCTGTTTTCATAAGGTATTTTTAATTTGTTTATCACATTTGTATGCCACCCCATAGCCAGAGGTATTCAGGTACAAACTAGCACAGATATTGAGTTGTTTCAGGTACAGTGCCCAACCATGGTGTTATATGTGCAAGTAACTGCAACCCTCAGGCTCCGCTTTATTCCCTCATGTGCTCTGATTAGAACCTTCTGATTTGTGACAGATTATAGGTTGCTGTTTCATCAAAACCTGGCAAAGCATGGGTTGAGCAAATCATCCTTAATGTGTAAACTATCATTTCTTTTCTGAACACAAAGATCAGAAACCTCTCATCATGATACGGGTGTTAAGGAGGGGAAGAAGGCAGTTGTCACACTTTGGGATGTGAGCAGCAGGAGACAAGACAGAGGCATCTGGACCAGGGCAACATAACCCAAGGAAATGTAGTGTCCAAAGTTCAATAGCAAGTCCAAATCCTCTGCAGAGAGCAGGCCAAGGTCAGGAAGCAGAAGTATGCATCAGGGCAAAGTAAGGACACTGTCACGAACAAACCAAAAGTCAAGAGTAGGAAGGCAAGAAAAAACAAGGAGCCAGATACCTTGAGGTAGGATAACTTGATGGAATTCAAGAGCTATGAAAGTGTGGCAAACAAGGCAAGACAATACACAGCAATGCATAGTGGGTAGCAGATGCATCTAGGATAACACAAGGAGATGTACCTTGCCACAGCCAACAGGAATAACTGCATTGCTTATTATTATTATTATTATTATTATTATTATTATTATTATTATAACCTTTCTATGCCGCCCCTTGCCGAAACCTCGGGGCGGCTTACAGCATGATAAAATACATTGAAATACAATAGTACATAATAAATTACCATTAAATATAACAATACAAAAAATACATTGATTTACAAATACAAAATTAAAATTATCAGTATAAAATAAAAATATAGGAGGAGAAAGAGAAGGAAGAAGAAGTTGCCCAGGCCAGATCATATGTTTTAACAATTGAAATGATGTTTAAATAAAAAGGTCTTTACCTGGCGCCGAAAAACCAGTAACGACGGTGCCAGGCGGACCTCTTTGGGGAGTGAATTCCATAGGTTGGGCGCCACCGCAGAGAAAGCCCTCCTTCGGGTACTTACTCTCCTAATTTCTTTCATGGAGGGTTCCCGGAGAAGGGACTCTCCCGCAGATCTCAAAGGGCGGTCGGGCATATACGGACGTAAGCGCTCGTTCAGGTAGCCAGGACCCAAGCCGTTTAGGGCTTTGTAGGTCATAATCAACACCTTGAATTGGGCCCGGGCTTCAATGGGAAGCCAGTGAAGCTGATGGAGGACTGGAGTCATGTGAGCATAACGCCCCGTCCCCGTCAGCAACCTGGCAGCTCTATTTTGCACCAATTGAAGTGTTCGGACTGTCTTCAGGGGAAGCCCCACGTAAAGCGCGTTACAAAAGTCTAGGCGGGAAGTCACCAGCGCGTGTGTCACCGTCGCCAGGCAGTCGTATTCCAGGTAGGGGCGCAGCTGATTAATCAGCCGAAGCTGAAGGAAGGCGTTCCTTGCTACCGCTGTCACCTGAGCTTCCAAAGAAAGCTCCGGGTCGAGGAGTACTCCTAAGCTGCGGACCTTATCCCTAAGAGGGAGTGTTGCACCATTCAGGACCAGGTCAAATCCACCCTCTCCGAAACCCGATCCACCAACCAACAGGACCTCCGTCTTGTCTGGGTTGAGTTTCAGTTTATTGGCCCTCATCCATTCCCTTACCTCGGCCAAGCACCGGTTCAGCACAGCCACTGCCTCACCTGGATTAGTGGAGAATGAGAGGTAAAGCTGGGTATCATCAGCGTATTGATGATTCCGCAGCCCACACCTCCTGATGACCTCTCCCAGCGGTTTCATATAGATGTTAAATAGCAGAGGGGATAGAATGGAGCCCTGTGGTACCCCATGGCATAGCTGCCATGACGTAGAGACATGGTCCCCCAGCACTACCTTCTGGAATCGACCGTCGAGATAGGAGTGGAACCACTGCAAAGCAGTGCCTCCAACCCCCAATCCCGCAAGTCTATCCAGAAGGATACCATGGTCGATGGTATCGAAAGCCGCCGAGAGGTCCAGAAGAACCAACAGGGATGTACTCCCCCTGTCCTTCTCCCTGCACAGGTCGTCGTACAGGGCGACCAAGGCAGATTCAGTACTGTACCCGGGTCTGAAGCCGGACTGAAAAGGATCCAGATAATCAGTTTCCTCCAAGAGTGCTTGGAGTTGTCCCGCCACCACTCGCTCCAGCACCTTGCCCAGAAACGGGATGTTGGCCACAGGTCTATAGTTAGTGGCCATCTCTGGATCCAGTGACGCTTTCTTCAGGACCGGTCGTATTACCGCCTCCTTTAAAGGGGCAGGCACTCGACCCTCCCTCAGAGAAGCGTTAACCACTTCCAAAATCCAGGTCCCAATCCCGTGCTTGGAGTTATTTATTAACCAAGACGGGCAAGGATCCAATAGGCAAGTGGTGGGACGTACTCTTCCAAGCACCTTGTCCACATCATTGGGCCGCAATAATTGAAATTCCTCCAGTAATTTTGGACCAGACGGTGGCAACAACGTAGCAAAATACAGCAAGAGAAAGCAGGCACCAGTTGCAGGAACCTGCCAACAGCAAGCAGGGAAGCCTGTGTTGCGGAGGCAACACAGCAGGCACAACACAACAGGGACCAGGTGCATCAAGGGTCAGGCAAGGTACAGGAGATGAACCATGCCACAACTTGCTGAAAGACCTGTGTTGCTGAGGTGAGACAGCAGGACTGGGTTGGGCAAGATACAGGTGCTACAGCAAACAGGAGGACCTGTATTACTTAGGCAAGTTCTGGAGACAAGAGCTTGCTCTCATATAGCTCTTCCCCCAGGGCTCCAGGCTGGAACTTATCAGGAGGCTGAGGGAGTGCTGGTTCTGGCCACCAGATGGAGCCCAGAGCTGCCCAGATCCTGACAGCAGTACACATGCCCCATAGATCTGTGACTGTATGTGTGCTTGGGACAGAGGCAGGAGAGTAATAACACCTGAATCAAACAATATATTGAATTGTTAATTCTAAAAGATCTTGAATAAGAGTAGCAATTTCATGCTTCCCTGTCTCGTTGCTTGGTCCTGGTATGTTTAGCCATCACTGGACATAGCTTGGATGGAGAACATTGTTACATCTCCCCAGTGCTTTTTTTGTAGGAAAAAAAAAGGTGCCGGAACTCACATCACCTCCAGCAGTAAGCACACACACCAATCCCAAGCCGCTATCTCTCACTATCAGATAGCAGATCGCAGACACAATAGCAGCCTGCAGGCACTATGTTAATGATGTTTGCTGCTGATCTGCTACCCCAAAATCACTTCGTAAAATCCATTGAAAAATGGTGCCGGAATGCTGTTCCAGTGCGTTCTATGACAAAAAAAAGTCCTGCATCTCCCTCCTTTCAGTTTCTACTAACCCTAACCCAACCCTGATCCTTAACACAGATGGTTGGACAAACTCCTTAGGCAAAAGCATAGACTGCCAGCAAATGTGTTTCTTTCAGAAAATTATCCAGAGTAATCTGGAAGCTTGGAAGTGAATCAGATGTACTTGCATTTATGAATATCGTATTAGGAAAAAACTTTTCTCATAGCTACATATATAAGACCTAATACTTCTAGGTGTAAGGGAAGATGTTCTTTGATGGGACAAGGACGTATGTTTTAGTAGCTTCCTTGCTATATCTGTTCAGTTTATGCAAGCTGGTATTTTCACCAATGGTCTCTGTGCATCCTTTCGATTACCCAGTACAGTAAATAAAGGTGAGTGGCTGCAGATTTGACCCTTCCATAATGTGCTACAACTGTCAATTATTGCTCTGTACATTTTATGAACGTGTGGTTTGTCAGAGCCCAGGAACCTCAGGTGCAGATGCCAGGCGGAAGTGTCATGTTTGTATGTACT